TCAGAATAGAAAACAAGTGGTAACAAGAAAAAAATGCAACCTAGGACTATTTCAACATTCCAGGATAACATTAAACTGAGTTACTGGGTAAAATGGATTACACTGTAAATCCTTTACATGCAAACTAACATATAAAAATGGATTGAAGATGGTTAGTTTACTTTTAGTGAAGTTTATCAAATTTCTAATTGTGAATAAAAACCTAACACTGACTATATTAATATAGATTTGACAACCTAGTTTGCTATCCAGCTGGTAGTCTTTTGTTATACTGCGGGGGCATCAGCCATCTGAATTATTTTTAAGGCCTACAATTTAGATACAAATTTTTTTTTATTATTGTTTGCCCCTGGCTACAATGTGATTCAGAGTCCTGGTGTGATGTGGATTAAGCACTGGACTGCAAAGTCACTTTGAACTGCAAGGTCAGTGGTTCAAGCTCATCAGCTACTTCTCGGAAACCCTACACAAGGTCACTATGGGTTGGAACTGACTCAACGGCATTTAACAACACCACCATGATTCAAAACAAAAAGAGGAGCCTGCTTGCAAAGTTTTTTTTTCTAAATTGCTAGTGTTTAAGGTTGTATTAACTATGTGTTTGAAAAATAATTTTTAAAGATGATCTTGGATTTAGGCTTTTTCAAAGTCACAGATTTAGTTTTTAAAGGATTTTGATCTTTAAGATTATGCATTATAATTTGGTAAATTATATTCAGCCACAGCCTGGTGCAGCGCTGTAGGATCAACAAGGACTTCAAATGCACCAGGTGCTCCTCGGAAACCCCATACAGGACTGCTATAAGTCAGAAGTGACTAGACAGCACTAACAGCCATCTCAGTTTCTCAGGAATCCATCTAGCATTCATGGTATTTGCTTTAAAAAGTGGTAGGTAATGGAGCAAAGCCAACGGAAGTAGCAAGTTCATTTTTCTGAAGCAAGTCATTGTTAAGGAGACGCACATTTAAATGATCTATTTTGTGTAACATTTTTTTCCCTCCAAATCTCTTCAAAAGAAACAATGAGACTGACCTTTCTAACCTGACACAACCTGGTAAAAAGGAGAAATTGCATAAAATTGGAAAAACAAAATAGGTTTGGGTGATCCATTGTGAACAATGGCAGCAATGGCTCAGATCACAAATTAGAGATAAGTTTCACACATACTAGGATGGATATAATGAAAAGGCAAATAAGTTTAGTGAGGATGTGAAGAAACTGGATTGCTCAACCACTGCTAAAAGAATTGTGCAGCTGCTACAGAGAAGTTTGGCTTATTCTCAAAATTTTAATTATGGTATAAGTCAATAATTCCATTCCTAAAGGACTGTAAATGGACTGAAAAAGATAGTAGTACACTAATGGTTAAGCAGCACAACTCAAGTGTCCATTTGGATAAATGAAATGTGATAGTTGCCCACCAACACACAAAATCATTTTATGATGTGAATTCTAGAATGCATTGGTATCGTCTTCTCAGAATGTTCTTCTGAAATTAGTGCTAAATAATCAACCCAAGTTCATACAGTTCTAATATTCTCAAAGGATGCATGCCCCATAAAGCAGACCCACAAAGCTGGAATATTATCCAAAGCAGGTAAAATTCTTAAAAATTTTTCCTCCCTCCCCTCAAATGAAACCCAGTGTTGCTTGTTGCTTCTACATTGAGCAAAATACTAAAAAAAAATGTTTTAATTAAATACTTTTGAACTATATTTAGAAAACATTTTAGCATTGACCACAATTCTTCCAAGGCTTTTTTCTATAGAGTTTTCATGTGGGTCTTAGTAAGTGATAAAGTAATAGTTCAGACTTCTTTCTTTCCTTATACAGAAAGTCCCTGGGTTCTGAATGTCTGACTTGGAACACCTTTTACTTGTCCTTTAAATGTTATTTAAAATTTCTTCACTTTGAAATGATTGAACCAACCCCCTATTTCTAATTAATTACAATAACCTTTACTTGCTGCATGTGCAGTTTCTAGATAACTGAGAAGGTGCTGAGTGTTTTTTTGCACTGAAGTAAGCCTAAATAAGAAAATGCACCTATTCCGACTTAACAACAAATTCAACTTAAAGACACTCAGGAATGAATCTGGTTTGTAACCTGCGAACTGCCTGTATATGGTGTTTAGTTTTGTCCCAAACTAGTTTTCAGGGAACTTTACCTGTACTTCATTGCTAAAGAAAACATTGAAACATGTCATTTTCCATTAGGGAAACCCTCCCAATAGTGTTCTTTGGACCTTCTCTCCTATGTGTTTTGCTTCTCAGATATATCTCCAGACTGAAACCAGCATATTCTGATGAGCTCAGAAAAGTCACCACCCAGGGAAATTCTTGGAAATTTTTAGTATTTAATTTTTTAAAATATGACATTATAGCCAAAAATAATTTGTTAATGAACTATCACTGTACAAATTGGCTGTAATGACAATTTCACAAACTTTCATTTTAACAATGTGGTTTTTTAAAAAACATTTCTAGCAATTTATAGTCCATCAAATAAATTTCTGGAATGTTAATTCCTAAAGCAAGAATGTATAGCTTCATAAGAGCCTCTAGCAACTAGAAAAAGAATTGCTAGACTTTCCATGTTATTAAAATTAAAGGTACTAAAAATATCCAAATGCAATAGGAAAGTTCAGTCAAAAAGATGGTTATAAAAATTTTAACATTTCGGACTAACACTCTAATTCATGAGCAAATGAAAAATTTGGTGTGCTATTTGTAATTTTTTTAGTGATCCTTATCTTAGAACTCCTTGTTACAGATCTGACCAGTACTAGCGATTTGACCTAGTATTCTCAAATGCCTGCAGACAATGTGATTATACCATGTAGTCAGCAAACATCAAAATTCAGGACATGGAATGTGTGGGAAGTGATTAGCTTTTCACACCAGAGTTCAACCTAGCTAGCCATGGTGCAGTATAGTACCTGACTGAATGCTTTTCACATGGGCATGAACAATTATGTAATTTTTTTTCCCTTTCAGAATGTCTCTTAACTTTTTGCTGGTTTTCTTGCAAGTTATTGGATGGTCCTGTGAACATGTCTGAAAGCAGGCCAAAAACAAAGGAAGAAGGAAAAAAAAAAATCAAGATTTTGGCTTTTAATCTATCATTTTTATATTTGTCACCTAATGTTAAAATGCCCCAAAAAATGTTATTTAGGAAGGCACAATTAGGGAGTATCAATTTTTCATTTATAGTTTTTTCCAAATAAGATCCCAAGGAACTACCACCTTAATTTTTCCCTTAAAATCTTTTAAGGACTTCAACATCCAATTTGAAGTGTAGGTATATCCTCATTCTCAAATTTACTGAAGAGTTAACAATACAATGGATAATGAACAGAATATGAAAGTTACTTTTATCAAAAGAAGAAGGTTCTTATGGTATTGGATTCATAGATTAAAGAAACTGAAACAAGGACTTTAATGACTGGAAAATCAAAAGCTTTTCTTGAGGTGAGTGGGCTTTTATTACCCATGCTAGAAAATTAAATGACGTTTCAGAGAAAACACCAAGTTTATCCTGAAATTAAAGCATTACACATAATAACTGAGTAAAGCTTAGTTACCATTTTAGGCTAGACACTAATCCCAGTACAACCTTTTGTAATTTCTAATTGTAAAAAGTATTTGGCTTCATATTCAGAATCTTTTTACAATATAAATTATATATACAATGTTTTCCTATAACTCAAACTATAATGCTCAAGTCTATAAAAACGAGTTGTTGTTTTTTCCAGAGATGCCCAAAAATCCTACTACTCCTGTTTCTTCTATAAAAATTGACAATTTTGAAAAAACTTCTAGCATTAAAGCTCAGTGGTTTATCCAAAAGTTCAAGCTCAGTTGGTAGACAGTTTCTCATGATGTATTGTGCTATTTTCTCTAACATCATGTGGTCAAATGCCCTGTTGCTATAGGAGCATTTTTCATGGGCATGGTAAGTATAAGACAACGGGATCCAGTTGAATATGTTGCTGTTCACTTTTAATATTAAATTGTGCTATCATCCTAAAAATTAAAGTGAGCTGCACTAAGAATGAGGGCATAAATATATCTGTTTGCACCACAGGCTAAAAACTAAAATCTAAAAGACTGAAAACATTTGTTGATTGAAAAACAAAGGATGAGAAGCAATGAGAATAGGTTATGGTAACTTTAATCTTTTGTTAAAGTTGAAAACAAATTATACTACACTAATCAAAATGAGACGGAGGTCTGGTAGTGTAGTAGTTATGAATCGGGCTGTGAACCGCAAGGTTAGCAGTTCGAAACTACCAGCTGCTCCGCGGGAGAAAGATTAGGCTTTCTGCTCCCGTAAAGATTTACAGCCTCGGAAACCCTGTTCAGGGTTGCTATGAGTCGGAACCGACTTGACGGCACTTAACACAACAATCAAATTGAGGTAGAGGTAGACCCTAGTGTTATTCTTTCCCTGTGTTAGAACTTGGACTCCTGGTGTGGTGCTTTAGGATCATCACTGGACTATGAACCACAAGATAGAAGTTCAAATCTATCAGCTACTCCTTGGAAATCCTATACAGGGTTACTCGAGTTGGAAATGACTCAATGGCACATAACAACATGTTAGAACTTTATAGGCCTTTCACCTTACCTTGTATGCTTTTCTCCTCTAATTATAAAAACATGATTCAACTTGAAATGCTTGTCATAATAGAAAAATTATACTTTGGTACAAAAAACTCTTAATCACCAGCTTAAAAAAACAAAACGAAACAAAGCCTTATTGGGAAAAATGTATGCAATAATTCAGCCATCTTCCTGTCAGTCATAAATATATATTTTTTCCTCCACGTGTAGGGAAGATAAAAAAGGACAAAGAAAGTAAAATATGCAAACATTATGAAATCCTGTAATGAAGTCATTTGAAACATAACTAAGAGTCTGAACATTTTACCTTAGTGTCTGGTTTCTCTCTTTGAAGATTACATATAAACTCTGCTTAATATTAAAGTCTCCTACTAACTTCCTTTTCAAACTTATAACAAGTTCCTATTTCCATTTCAAATCACACACAAGTGCTATGTGATCAGAGGGATGTGAAACACTAGGTAAGGCCTGGTGGGTGGTAACTTCTTCATGACTAGGTAATGGAATTACCTGTTCAACCTCTAAAGCATTTAAGTCAATGAAAACATAATCCAGACATCCATGAAAGCCACCAACATAATTTGTGTAAGCAGGTTCACCACAAGCACTTTTCAGTTTGAAGAAATGGGAAAGAGACATGTTGCATCTTTCCTCTTCCCCATTGGAAGCCCAATCTTCATGTTCCTCTGGAATGTTGCCACTGATGACAAAATGATATACTCCTGTTGATGGCGTACTATTAAAGTCCCCACAAAATACAACTGGTATGCCAGGATAGAGATCGCATGACACATGTCTAATGTGAGCCAAGGCTACTGCCATTTGAATGAGACGAATGTACCCACCTATGAATATAAAGAACATTAATGTAAGTACTTAAAAAGTTGTCATTACGTAAAAACAACAAAAACCTTACATACAACATTACCTGGTGACATATATTTGTATAAAAGTTTTATCAAACTTATTAAGTCACCACGTTTGAATCTTTGCAAAACCAAATTAAACCTACCCTTTGGATGCCAGTAGAGATGGGTATTAGCAACACAAATCTTTTTAGATGAGTCCTTTGTAGACTGAAGAACTGAAACCTAAAATAAACAAAGTGCCAGGAGTTAATGTGGTGCCTGCCAATCTCCTGAATGTTTTTATTCAAAGACTATATGATGAACTGACATTTTATTTCACATCTGTCCCATACGGATAACTAAGATGTTGTTATTAAGTGCAGTCGATCAGGTCCAGCTTATAGCAGCTGGTGAGTTTCAATCACTGACCTTGTGGTCCAGTGTTTATATAAGCTTCAGTGTATACATGAATAAGTCTCAGAATAACATGTTTTAGTAACAGTCCACAATATAACGCTAGTCTGAAGAGAATAAACTTTGGATAAAAGTAAGGTTGGAGGCAGTACATAAGGTTAAGAGCAGGCTTTAGAATTGGGCAAATCTAGGTTTAAACATTCACCCTACCATTTACAGCAGTGTGACTGGAAAGAAAAGTTAGTTTTCAGGCCACCTTCATCATAGGTAAAAAGAGACATCATAGGGGATGGCTGCATAGATTCAATTAAGTGAGCTAATTGGAGGAGCATACTGGTGGTGGTGTGCTGTGGAGTCAGTTCTGACTTATAGTGAGCCTATATAGGGTTTCCGAGGCTGCAGATCTTAATGGGAGCAGAAAGTCTCATCTTTCTCCCACGAACAGCTGGTAGTTTCGAACTGCTGACCTTGCTGTTTGAAGACCGATTTGTAACCACTACACTACCAGAGCTCCTTTTGTTGTTGTTAAGTGCCCTGGAGTCGAATCCGACTCATAGAGACCCTGAACAGGGTTTCCGAGGCTGTAAATCCTTACGGGAGCAGAAAACCTTATCTTTCTCCAGCACTCCTTAGGTACTCAAAAAATGTTAGGTAACATTACTGTGAATAAATCAATTATCTGAAAAACACCAGGCAAACACACAATGACCATGTTTTTTAAAACCATAACCTTAAGCTAAGTAGCAGTTAACACACTGCCCACTGATGATGGACAATATAACTTGCTGGGTGAAAAATCCTGGCTCCTCACTTGTGTAAACTTGGTTAAGTAAACTTCACTATTTCTTCAAGTATAAAACAGGAAGACTAGCAGGATTAATGATACAGAATAGTTAATATAAGGCATTTAAATTGTAAGCACTTGAAAATGCATGAGAACAGTGCCTGGTAAAATGAAAACCAGTATTAGCTATTACTACTAGTCTTGGATTTAGTATGTGCCTCAGCCACTAGACTGTAAACTCCATGGAAGTCCCTGTTCGCCCTGTTAGGGACCCTTCAGCATGCCTGGCACATGAATGAAAGAGACTGTGCCCGAAGTGCTTTCAAAGACATCGGGGTTGTTTCACTTCAGTGTTCATCCTTCGCCCTCTTTCCCCCTCCAACTTCCAGACCCCTCAAAACGGGCAGAGGAGTTACTTTACCTGAAGGACAGAAGATCTCTGGAACACCCTTTCCTTCGCTGGTGGGTATAAAGCTAGTTTTTCTAGCAGTTCTTTGTGAAGTGGGTCGGACTCCAAGGCTTCATGGAAAGAAATGTCATGCTGGCTCAGCAGGCTGAACTTGGACTTTCGGTAGAAGGTGGCCAGACCTTCATGCTGCTTGATTCGAAAAACGCCCTCTAGGCCGAAGGCCTCCAGGGCAGGCACCAGGCTGTCGGAAAACACGGCGCGGTCCACCTCCTGCAGACAGATGAGGTCGGCATTGAAGCCTGTGAGTTCCTTCTGGATGAGGTTCTGGCGGTAGTCGAGCTCCAGGGCGTAGGGGGCACAGTATGGGTACAGGACTGTTCGGGAGAATTCGGTCTGAGCATACGTGTCGGCCAGGATGTTGTAGGAGACCGTCCGGATGAGAGAGTCGTCCGTCACCTTTTTGGTGTAGAGATGCCGGTGATCAAAGGTGCAGGTGCCGGGTCCAGCCTCCACGGGACAGACACTTTCCAGCTCTCGGCTAGGACCGAAGCGCTGACCGTTGCCTGGGGTGCAATGAAGCTTGAGCCGTAGTCCGATGTCGGCATTGGACGGAGTGAAGACGCGCTCGTTCACACCCGTCTCGGTCCAAGTAGGGGAAGCGGAGGTGGGAGACAAGGACGAGGGGCCCTCGCCCTCCGGCGCCATGGCTCGGGGCTTAACTTCCCTGTACCAGCGAAAGAGGGAGCCCGCGGGATCCCCAAATTCCAAGCTGAGCTTGGGGCACACGGGAAAGCCAGCCATAACGTAGCGCGGCAACTGCAATTCAGTGAAGGCTGGTGGGTTGCGCTCCACCTTGTACTTGACGTCGCCGATCTGCAGAACCGCGCCGTCCTGCCAGGCATCCACGTTGAGCACGTCCTCAGCCACCGCCTCTTCCCGGTAGTATAACTTCACCACGGGTTCGCAGGGCGCGCCCGCCTCGGGTCCAGGCCCTGCACCATCAAAGTCGCTGCTTGCGTTCGGCCGGTTTTTCCTGCTCTTCTTGGCCGCCACGGCCTTGGCATGACCCTTAAGGGCGTTGGTGGCGATCCGGCTAAGGACTCGACCCAGTGGTTCGCTCTGGTCGCGCTGCATATTCTTGTGGCTGCCGTCCGCCAGAGCGAAAGACAAACTCAGCTTGGGTTCCGTGGGCACGCAGCGCACTACCGCGCGCTCCATAGCTCCTGTCGTTGCTTCAGTCCCTGTCTCGGCTCGGCCGCGCCGCTCCACCGCCGTCCGAACCCCACGAAACGCGGCGCGGGCCCTTGGGAGCCTCCACATGTACCTGGTGGTGGCCCAGAGGCTGACAAGATCGATAGCCAAACGGTACCCTTGCGTGAAGTGGAGCGAGAGAAGCAGCAGTCACCGGTGCCGGCACCCATTCAGTCCCTTCAACTTCCGGCTGGCAAGGAAAGAGTGCGAGATGCTTCTGCAGCACAGTTTCGCCAGGCCTGCTCGCCGGCTCCTTTTTTTTTCTTTATAATGTAAGCTGGTTGATAATTTCCTCAGTTTAATTTTCATTACTAATTATGGTTATAAGTATTAAAATTAAGAGCATATAGAAGTTTCAAAGGGAAATATTAGATTACACGACTTTGTCGAAAATGCAGGCTCGAAGCAGAAGTGACAGTGCCCCAAATCGGAAGTGGTTGGGGCGGTGTTGCGAATTCTGCTGGCGTAGACGGAGGCGGAGCTTTTCTGGAACACTAGGCGTCCCGCGCTTTTCTCGCGTTGCGGCGTACGGAGCTGCCAGAAGCCACTCCTCTGAATTTGGGAGACTGTCACTCAAATCCTCACCGTTATGCTGCGCACCCAGCTAACTCGCTTTCTTCAAGTTGGTGGGTTTGCCTCAGGTCGTGCCAACTTCTTGTGAGACTTTGTTGTAAGCCTTGGTGGTGGTGGTGGTGGTGGTGGTGGTGGTTATGTGCCGTGGAGTCGGAACCGACTCATAGAGACCCTGTGTAGGGTTTTCGAGGCTGTAAATCTTCAGGAGAGCAGAACGCCTCATCTTTCTCCCGCAAAACGGCTGGTAGTTTCGAACTGTTGGCTGTGCGATTAGCAGCCCGACTCGTAACAATTACGCTACCATATGCCCTTACTCATCTCTTAAAAATTTGAATTCCTGAGAGTTTATTGTCTCAAGGTTACACAGGTAGTAAATTGGCAGAAATAAATAACAATGACAAACTGCGAAAAGCTGTGCCTTTTTAGGACCCAAAACCTCAAACCTTTTGCTATAACTTGGATTCTGACTCTTGGCGACCCCATATGTTAAAGATTAGCACCAAGTTTCTAGGATTTTCTTGGGGTTAGTAGTCAGTGTAAACTGCGCTACCCAGGGACCTTAAAGAGATAGGAATTCCCTCTTCCCTCCTTTTTTAGTGCAAAGAAAAAACAACCTAAAACCTGTTGCTGTCAAGTTGATTCCGACTCATAGTGACCTTGTAGGATTGAGAAGAACTGCCTAGCCGGGTTCCAAGGCTGTCAGTCTATGGTAGCAGACAGTCTCATCTTCTGTGGAGTGCGTGGTGGGTTCAGACTTTGAACTGACAACTTTTAGGTTTTAGGTTAGTAAACAACTTATTGTTGTTGTCAAGTGCCATCGAATCGGTTCCGACCCATAGTGACCCTGTATAGGGTTTCCAAGGAGCAGCTGGTGAGCTTGAACCACCGACCTTGCAGTTCAAACGGCTTTGCAGTCTGGCGCATTAACCCACAGCGCCAGTAGACCACTAGGGTCCCTTAAAACAGCTAAATTTGAATTTCAGGCAAACAAGGAGTAATAATGGAACATTCTTATTAAAAAAAACGGTTCCTCTTTCATCTGAAATTCAAACTAACTGGGCATTCTGTATTTTATCTGGCAACCCTATTTCTATTAAAGGGTTTGAAGTATAAATGAACTTGTTTGTAGACAGAAAGAATTCCAGCGTGCATGAGCCCAGGGAAGTGAGAAACAGGAGAAAGATAGGCAGCCACTAAATTCTCTAGTGTGTTCTGAGCTACAATGTGTTCTGAATTTTCTTTTAAGTAAAAGGGAAGCCATTGGAGTTGTTTTGCATGTATTTATGGATCCACTGAGTGATGAGTAGGACTGTAAAGTAATCACTTGACTTCAAGGTAGATTTGAACTGCAACATTTGCAGTTCAAACTCACCACCTGGTCCTCAGAAACCCTATACAGGTTCACTGTGATTTGGTGCCAACTCAATGGCTACGAACAACAACGTCATCACTTATGGGGATCCTGATGTGGCACCACAGGAAATGCACTGGACCTTATGGTCAATTTGAACTGCAAGGTTGGCAGTTCACACCTACCAGCTGCTTCTCAGAAATTCTATACTGGGTCGCTATGAGTTGGAACCAGCTCATCAGCCACTTAATATTGCATTAGGCAGATTTGCCGCACAAGACCTCTTTAAAGTGTTAAAGAGAGCAAAGATGTCAGTTTGAGGACTAAGGTGTAACTAACCCAAGCCATGGTGTTTTCAGTAGCCTTGTATGCGTGTGAATGTTAGACAGTGAATAAGGAAGACCGTAGAAGAATTGATGCATTTCAGTTATGGTGTTGCAGAATATTAAAAGTACCATGGACTGCTAGAACAAAGAAATTTGTGTTGGATGACTTGCAACCAGAATGCTCCTTAGAAGCCAGGATGGCAAGACTTTGGAGTTGTTATCAGGAGGGACTAGTTCCTGGAGAAAAGGACCTCATGTTTTTTAAAGTAGAGGGTCAGTGAAAAAGAGGAAGACCCCCCAACAAGATGGATTGGTACACTGGCAGCAGCATTGGGCTCAAGCATACTGATTGTAAGGACGGTGTAGGACTGGGCAGTATTTTGTTTGGTTGTGCATAAGGTCGCTGAGTCAAAACAAACTTGTCACGTAGCAACAACAACACTGGTGAGATTATTATGTTCTGTTTCCTTAAAAAGGAAAAAATAAAAATATTTGTTGACTTCTTGTGCGTTTGTCATTCTAATGCTTATTGGAATCCTAGTATGGTACTGTAGGACCACAAGGTTGGTTTGAACCACAAGGTCAGCAGTTCAAAACCTACCAGCGACTCCCTGAAAACCTTATACAGGGTCGCTATGAGTTGGAACCAACTGGACAGCGTTCAATATTACAGCTAAAACTTGCTGAGGCAACTGAAGCTAAAGTGGGCTCTACTCTGCTACCCTTGCCATTCCCTTCACTTCCTATTCTTCCCTCCTCAGTGTCCCTGCCCTGGGCTAATCACTCCCTGAGTTTCACATTTGTCTCATTCCCTTGCTGTGTTTTTTGGTTTTACCAAATATGATCATGTCCTTGAAATCATTGGGTTTTATGAGCTTGCTTCCAAGCTTTACTAAAAAATGCATCTTTGATGCTTCTACTACTTGTGTTTTTAAAGTTTTTTTTTTTAAGCTTTTATTGTGAATTTAGTGGTAGTTTATGTGGGAAGACATTGGTTTTGCATTCATCCTGTAGTATTTCATTTCATTGCAATTATTACGATCCCCTCCATGCATTACCATTCAACAGTATTTGCTTCTATTCCCTCTGTTTTTTTGTGTGTGTGTTTTGTTTTGTTTTTTATCTACACAAAAACACTCAGGAATAGATCATCATTTAGACAATCCAAGGGCACATTCTATAAGCCTGCCTCCTGACTAGTAGTACACAGTCTTTCTCTTTCCATGCGTCTCGAGTCCTCAGCTTCTCTCTCCATGTCATCATCTCTGCCTCTATCTCTGGTGTCACTGCTTCTCTGGTTAGGGTCCCAAATTGTGGTCGTGCTCTTCTTCCTTGATGATCCTAGCGTCCTCTGTTCCGGAATGTTGGATTAACTCCTCCCCCTTTTATGTTACAAAACTTATGCCTTTACAGTTTTGACAATTGTAATTAGTCATGATAATAATTACTCAGTATTGAATATTAATCTTATCCCTATCTCCTTTCATCAGACCCATCTAGACAACATGAAAACTGTTCAGTGGAGATTCTGCCTTCTCCTGCACATTCTGAAACTAAATTCCCTCATGAAAACTTGTAAGCTAGCCATTTTGTGCCTTTATAGCCTATTTCCCCACCCACCTCCATTTTAGGTATACAATGTCTAAGTTGCCCATTCCTATCAGCTCTGTGTACAGATGGGATAGGTTTGATCCTTGATGGCAAGATTCCTTCCCTCTCAATTGGTATTTGGAGCTAGGACATCTATAAGTAAGGAGCTCTGGTAGCATAGTGAGCTCTGGTAGCGTAGTGATTACAAATGAGGCTGCTAACCTCAGGGTCAGCAGTTGAAAACTACCAGCTATTCTACAGGCGAAAGATGAGGCTTTCTGTTTTTGTAAAGATCTACAGCTTTGGAAACCCTGTACAGGGTTGCTATGAGTCGGAATCAGCTCCATGGTACACAGCCACCACCACCACATCCATAACTATCGGTCAAATTCAGCATGATAGAATTTTGCAAGAACAGTAAACACCTGTTTTCAACTGTAAATGTAGACCTTATCAAATGGAATACACAGGAATAAAATTAACTGCATCTATGGGAAGCGATGATGCAGAAGCTGTATATCCTCATCCAGGATGTGGAACAGACCATCATTTGCTCATATGCATGTTCAGGCTGAAGATAAAGAAAATTAAAACAAGTCCACGAGAGTCAAAATACAACCTTAGGTGTGTTGTTGTTGTTAAGTGCTGTTGAGTCGGTTCTGACCCATAGTGACTCTGTACAGGGTTTCCGAGGTTGTACATCTTTATGGGAGCAGAAAGCCTCATCTTTATCCCATGGAACAGCTGGTAGTTTCAAACTGCTGACCTTGCATTTCACAGCCCGATTCGTAACCACTGCGCTACCAGAGCTCCTTAAGTATATCCCACCTGAATTTAGAGACCATATCAAGAGCACATTTGATGCATTGAACACTAAAGGGTTGTGGGATCACATCAAGAACATTATATACAAAGAAAGCAAAAGGTTATTAAAAAGACAGGAAAGAAAGAAAAGACCAAAGTGGATTCAGAAGAGACTCTGAACATTGATCTTGAGTGTAGAGAAGTTAAAGTGACTAGAAGAAATAAGGAAGTAAAAGAACCGAACAGAAAAATGTAAAGGGCAGCTCAAGAAGACAGTAAAGTATTATAATGAAATGCACAAATAACTGGAGCTAGAAAATCAAAAGGAAAGTACACACTCAGCATTTCTCAAGTTGAAAGAACTGAAGAAAAAATTCAAACCTGAAAGATTCTATGGGCAAAATGATGTATTGCAGTAGACATGTTTGCAAAAGACCTCTTTCAAATGTTAAAGAACAAAGATGTGACTGAGGACTAAGGTGCACCTGACCTCATATTTTCACTGTCCTCATATGCATATGAAGGTTGGACAATGAATAAGGAAGACCAGAGAAAAATTGGTATATTTGAACTATGATGTTTGCAAAGAATACTGAAAGTACCGTGGACTGCCAGAAGAATAAATCTGTCTTGGAAGAATTGCAGCCAAAATGTTCCTTGTAAGCCAGGATGGCAAGGCTTTGTCTCTTATTCTTTGGATATGTCAGGAGAGATCAGTCTCCAGAAAAGGACATCAAGCTTGGTAAAATGGAAGGTCAGAGAAGAAGAGGAAAGACCCCCAGTGAGATGGATTGATGCAGTTGCTGCAACAACAGGCTCATATGTAACAACAGTTGTGAGGATAGCTCAGGACTGCACAGTTGTGCATAGGTCGTTGTGAGTTGGAACTGACTCGATGGTACTTAACACCAACAAACTATACAAGTTTTAGAAAGGTTTTATCTTTCATATATAACAAGCTCAAAAGCATGTTCCACAAAAGAAAAAAATAAATAGTTTGGATCTTATTTAAATAAATAAACTTGCTCTTCAAGACCCATAGTTAAGAAATGAAAAGGCAAACTACACATTGGGAATACATATTTTTATTTGCAAATCATTTAGTTCATAAAGGGCTTGTGTCCAGAATATATAAAGAACACTTACACTCAATTAGAAGTTAAATAATTTAATAAAAAAAGATCTGAATAGTCATAAAAATAAAAGATAAACGATGCATAAGCATTGGACTACTAACCACAAGGCTGGTGGTTCAACTCCTCGGAAACCCAATGCAGGGTTGCTATGAGTTGAAACCGACTTGATGGCACTTGATAATAAACCTCTATAGTCACTAGGGAAACATATATTAAAACTCCGGTGAGATACTACTATACACCCACTATGTTATCAACAAGTGAAAGAAGCCAGACACAAAAAATTCCATGTGTATGAAATTTTCAGGAACTGCTAGTCTACAGAGGCTGAAAATGGATTGACAGCAGATGGGCCCAAATGAACTTTTGTGGTTGCTTTAGCGCTGGATCACAGTAATAGTTGAATGACTATAAATGTGCTAAAAATCTCTGAATTATAGACATACAAGTGGTGAATTTTTTGGCATTCAAGTTATACCTCAATATATAGCTGTTTTTAAAAAGTAAATATTGCATCAGCCAGGGTTCAATCAGAGAAAGACAATTAGTAGAACACATAGACAAATACAGATTTAGTACAGGGAATTGACTTATTCATTTGTAGAGGTTGGTTAAGCAAGTCCAAGGTCTGTAGGGCAGCCTGTCAGGAAGGGAAGATCCAGAGAGGGGAGAGCAATTGTAGACCCAGGTCTGCTATTTGGAGCCTGACTCAGACAATGCCCAAACTTTGTTTTTATTAGGACTTGTACTAATTGAGTCAGACTCACTCAGGACAATCTCTCTAGATTGATGCCAGCAGACTCAGGATATGAATTAAGTGTGCAAAATCCTTCATAGCAACACTAGATTAGTGTTGGATAAACTGGGAGAAGGTGCCTGTATGATACACAAGACTGATGCTCTCCTTATACTTTTTGTAGTTTGTTGTTGTTAAGTACTGTTGACCCAGTTCTGACTCATAGCACCCTGTATAGGCTTTCTGAGGAGCAGCTGGTGAGCTTGAACTGCCGACCTTTCACATTTCAGTCCAGCGCATTAACCCACAGCGCCACACCAAGACTCCTATTGTTTGGGCCGAGTCCTGGACTGAAAGGTCGGTTTGAACCTTAACAACAGCAGTTTATACTCACCCAGCTGCACCTCCAAAATCCTATACAGGGTCACATACAAGGTTTCTATGGTTTGGAACATTGTTTGGGTAGAGTCCTGGTGGGTGGCTGTAGAATAAGCGCCGGACCACAAGGTCAGTAGGAACTGCAAGGTTGACAGTTGAAACTCAGCATCCTGCTCCTCAGATGCTCTATACAGGGTTGCCACAAGTCTGAACTGGATGGCATTTAACAGAAACAACAACATTGTTTGCAAGCTCAGATTTCTCTCTCCAAGCATACTGACAAAGCTTACACGCTTAAACTCGTTAGATTTTGCCAAGGATTTCCCAAAGTTAAAGTATTATATAAAGCAAATACAGAAGAAAGATAAAGTATATTGCTATTAGTTACAATATTTACAGGAAGTCACAATGGGACGCTTGAAGACTTTATTTCCCTCTGAGTCTGAGTAAATCTAATTGATTTCCAACGGATCCAAATTTCCAGTCTTGGAGTCTTCCAGAATTTGAAGATCCTGGTTCTCTAGACCCTTTGTTAGCAAGGAAAGCTTGCTAGGTAAAAACTCACTCACTCACTCCTCACTAAACTTGAGTATTATTGTTATGAATAACCTGGTGCAGCTCAGCAACTGCCTCTCCAGGCAACCTTCTCCCAGGCCCTCCGCGGCGCCCTAGACAGTTTCCATGGCGACAACTTTGTTTCTACGGGGCAGCTACTGCTCATTGCTAGTTGCTCTGTAGGAGCTGATGGGGCTCGGTAGGTATCAGCCTTCCTTGATCCCTTCTTCCCACCAGAGAAGAAACGTTTCCCTCTCTGTGCAGCCAGGAAGTAGCGGGAAAACAATTTGGCAGGTACTTTCTTGCCTTCCACTTTTCGCCTTTCGCTTAGGTCAGGCCTTCGCTTTTTGAGTGCCAGCAGAAATACGCTCTGTTTCAAGGCAGTAATCTTCAAATTTTGTCGGAACATGCAGAAAAAGGAGTTGGTATCATTTGTTACTTGTTTAGCATGTACATGACATTTTAGGTTTGATTTGCAGTACAGTCGTTCCACGGAAACCCTGTATAGGGTCGCTATGGGTCGGATCCGACTCGACGGCACTTAACAACAACAACAACAACAGTAAATATGCCTATTTTTGTTTGGTGATAGCACCACTCTTCTTAGGGCAATAGTTTTTGGTGTATGTGTGTGTGTTTGAAAGTATGAATCCTTTGAAATATCAGCTTTCTTGAGAGGTATACAATTGTGTTTTTAATTTGTTTTAAATTGTGGTTTGCATCTTACGAAGACATTTAGGCCCAGATTTTCAGAGCTGTATGGAGGTTTAGAGACTTCTCTAATTTAATCTATGAGGAAATTGAAGTCCCCAAGGGGAAGTGACTTGTTTCATTTCTTCATAGCAAGTGAGTGGTAGAGCTCTCACAGAAATCCTTCATTAATCCCAGCTGCCATTCTTATAATCATTATCATATTTGGGAGGAAGAGTTAAAAGAACACAATATTATTTATGGTATAGACACGTAAGATATAAATATAGAGAGACTTGCTTTAAAATCTTGACTTTATGGACTCATTCTGTAGGGGATCAAAATGTCAGACGAAAAGAAAGCTGCCATTGAAGCAGAAAAAGAGTCTCTGAACTTGAAGTTACCCCCCATTGTCCGGCCCCCAGAAGACCTAGGTGTGGACACACCATCACAAAGTAAGCTGCTCCACTATAGACGATATAAGGAACAGCAGAAGAAAATGAATCAGTTTGTGTAAGTAGCATATTAATAAATCTTGTTTTGAATTTAAGTGAAATGGTTAGTGTTCATATTCCCATAAAAATCTTTAACTCTGAGGGTAAAGTCATAGATAAAATACTGTCTTCAAGCTCAACTAGGGAAACCATTGAAAAATAACTATATTCGTACAATATACTATACAATGTGTATGCTAGTCAGGCTTCGTTCTCATCATTTTACCTATACTATTCATTTACTTCTTAACAACAACTCTATAAGGTAAGTACTACTGTTATCTCTGTTACAGATGAGGAAACTGAGGTGCAGAGAAGTTAAGTTACTTGCCCTTGGTTACACAGCTAGGAAATGACAGAGCTGAGATTTAGACTCAGAAAGTTTGGTTCTAGAGTTCACATACTTAGTTGTTGTTAAATGCCATCAAGTCAATTCTGACCCACAGCAACCCTGTATAAGGTTTCCGAGGTGCAGCTGGTAAGCTTGAACCATTTACCTTGCAGTTCAAATGGCTTTGCATTCTGGTGCATTAACCCACAGCGCCATACCAGGACTCCTCACATGCTTTTTTAGCATCACACTCTTCCTCCTCTCAATGTATTATTCCTAGACTTATCCCTGATAATCAACCTAAGTCATTGGGCCTCTATATATAGTATTTCTTTTAACAAAAACTAAAACATCTTTTTTTTTTTTTTTTTTTAAGGTTTTAATGTGAATTATGTGATCGTTTACATGGGAGAACTTTAGTTTTATATTCATTCTATCGTATATCGTTTCAATGCCATGGTTACAATCCCCTCCATGCATCATCAACCAACCAAAGGATATACCCTGCAAGCCTGCCCCCCACACTCCGCTCCTGGTCTTCAGCACACAGTCCCTCTCCTTCTCTGGATTTAAAGTCCCTAGCTGCTCCATCGCTCCACTTCATCGTCTCTGCCTCCATCTCAGGCATCACTGCTTCTCTGGGTAGGGTCCCACTCTCCACTCTTCTCCTAGACTGGAAATTTAATCACTCTCCTCCTTGCTATAAAACGTCTACCTTTACATTTCTGACCCTCACAATCAGTCCTGATAACAATTATTCACTATTGTATCACAAGAGACCTGTCTGCATTTCATTTCATCCGCCCCGCTTAGACAGATTGGATACTACTCACTGGAGATTCTGCCTTCCTCCAGGCCCTTTGGATCTAGGTTCCCTCTTGAAAGCTTGTAAGCCAGTCACTTCTTGCCTTTGTAGCCCCCCCTCCCCATTTTGGGTAGCCATTGTCCAAGTTTCCCATCCCTGTCTATTCTGTGTATGGAGGGGGTGGGAATGATTCTTGCAGTAAGGATTTGTTCCCTCTTTTGAGCTACTGCATCCATAGGTGTAGGTCAGGTTCATCAAATTGTATCAGATTACTCTTTTTTCCCTCTTCTTTCTTCTTCTGGTTGAGCTCTGATCATCCAGTCATTGAAACCAGGTCAATATGACCTCTCATCTTATCAGCTGGACGCTTCACTCTCCACTCTAGTCCTCTGTGGCTATGTCACTGACTGTGGGCCCAAGAGTCCCCAGGTCTTGCCACACTGCTGGCCAACCAGGTCTTCACCCGGGTTCACGGAAGTCTATTGAACATTGTAGGGCTTAGCTCACCACTTCATTGCTGTTTTTCCCTCACTTCCCCTTATCATTGACGAGCATGGTCACCAATCAGAGCGTGTATTCCCATTGAGTCTTAGTCTTGGAAGGGGGTTTGCACTGAGGGGACCTGACCACTTGCCTTGATGTTTCCTGGGCAAGCAACTTGTTTGTTCTTGTAGTAACACAAAACTAAAGCATCTTGAAATGACTTATATTTTTTAGTTTTCCTATATAAAAGAAAAGGAGCTCTGGTAGCGTAGTGGTTACGAATCGAGCCGCGAACCTTAAGGTCAGCGGTTCGAAACTACCAGCCGCTCCGCAGGAGAAAGATGAGGCTTTCTACTCCCATAAGGATTTACACCCTTGAAAACCCTGTACAGGGTCGCTATGGGTCGGAACCGACTCGACGGCACTTAACAACAATATAAAAGAAAGATCTAGACCAGTGCTTCCCTTCCTCCCATTTAGTGAAAAGTAAAACTAATTTAGGTACCAACTATCAAAGGTTCTGGTAAGGATGATTCACTTTAATGCCAGTTACCTAGAACTGCCTGGGTTCTGCTGTGCTCTTGAATATATAAGAAAAAGATGTAGATCTCATCCAAGAGATTCTAACCCAACACTGAACTGTAAAATGGGAAGCTTCTTTGTTGTCATTCCATATCTGTCTTGCTCTGTCTCATTTTTTTTTTTTTTAAGTTTTTGTTGTGAATTGGGTGATTCATTCTCATTTTTTACATTTTTTGTAATTTCATTTTTACTGTCTTTAACATTGCTGTTGATCATATTATTATCAATTTAATCATTTAAATTTTCTTAATTTTACTTTCTTTACAATTAAACAGGTCTGTGAACATATATATATATACATATATATATATGTATATATATATATATATATGTTGTTATTAAGTGTTATTGAGTCAGTGCTGACTCATAGGGACACTATACAGGGTTTCCAAGGAGAAGCTGGTGGGTTTGAACCATCAACTTGTGGTTAGCAGTCCAGTGCTTATATTACAGTGCCACACTGGGAGTTTCTATATATTTTTGTTAAGTGCCATTGAGTTGGTTTTTATTAATAGTGACTCTGTATAGGGTTTCTGAAGAGTGGCTGGTGGATTTGAACCACCAACTTTACAATTAAAACTGGCATTGCAGTTGAGTGCTTATCCTACAGCACCACACCAGGGCTCCATATATATGTGTGTGTGTAAAATTTCCTTTATATTTAGAGTCTTTAGATTTACTATTTCAAGAGTTAGCATATGATCAAGAACCAATGGTATCTAAGGAAGAATTTCAAGCTGCACTGAAGGTGTTGGTGAAAAACAAGCTTCTAGAAATTGATGAAATACAAATTGACATCTTTCAACAAATTGATGCAGCACTGGAGGCATTCACTCATCTATGCCAAGAAATTTGGAAGAAAGCTACCTGATCAGTCAATTGGAAGAGATCCATATTTATGCCCATTCCAAAGAGAAGTGGCCTAATGGAATGTGGAAATCATCAAACTATATCATTAATATTACATGCAAGTGTAATTTTGCTAAAGATAATTTTTAAATGGCTACAAAATTGCATCAACAAGGAACTGCCAGAAACTCAAGCTAAATTCAGACAATGAGGTAAAATGAGGGATATCATTGTTGACATCAGCTGTATCTTGACTGAAAGCAAAGAATACCAGAAAGATGTTTACTTGTGCTTTATTGACTATGCCAAGACTTTTGACTGTGTGGATCATGACAAGCTATGGATAACATTGCAAAAAATAGGTGTTCCAAAACAGTTGATTATGCTCATGAGAAACCTGTACAGACTGATGCAGTTGTTCAAACAGAACAAGGGAATACTGAATGGTTTAAAGTCTAGGAAGGTGTGCTCCAGAGTTGTATTCTTTCACCATACTTATTCAATCTGTGTGCTGAGCAAGTAATCCAGGAAGCTGTACTATATGAAGAAGACTTATTAACAACCTGAAATATGCAGATGTTAACAACTTTGCTTGCTGAAAATAAAGAGGACTTAAAATACTTACTGATGAAGCTCAAAAAACCACGCCTTTAGTATGGATAGTACCTCAGTGAAAAGAAAACAAAAATCCTCAACTGGATCAATAAATCACATCATAATCAATGGAGAAAAGATTGAAGGTGTCAAAGACATCATTTTGCTTGGATCCACTATCAGTAGTAATGGAAACAGCAGTTAAGAAATCACATGACTTACTGATTTAGGCAAATCGGCTGCACAAGACCTCTTTAAAATGTTCAAGAGCAAAGATATCAGTTTAAGGACTAAGGGGTGCCTGACCCTAACCATGGTATTTTCAGTTGTGTCATGTGCATGTGAAAGTTGGGCAATGAATAAGGAAGACAGTAGAAGAATTGATGTATTTGAGTTATGGTATTGTAGAGGAATATTGAAAGTACCATGGACTGCCAGAAGAACAAGCAAATCTGTGCTGGAATAGGTAAAACCAGAATGCTCCTTATATGTAATGGTGGTGAGACTTGGTCTCTCATATCTTGGACATTTTATCTGGAAGGAGCAGTCTCTAGAGAAGGACATTATGCTTGGCGTAAAGTGGAGGGTCAGCATAAAAGGGGAAGACCCTCAACAAGATAGATTGGCACAGTGGCATAAGCAAATGGAGTAAAGTGTAACAACAGTTGTGAGGTTGGTGCAGTATATAAGTTATGTATAAGGTTACTATGGGTCAAGACCTACTTGATGACACCTAAAAACAACCAAACTTTATTTAGATTTACATTTTATTAATGCATCAAACATCTCTTATTGTTGTTGCTGGCTTCTCTCAAGTTGGTTCATACACATGCTGATCCTTTGTACAACAGAACAAAATAACTTTCTGGTCCTCTGCCATCCTCACAATTGTTGCTATGTTTGAGCCTATTTTTGCAGCCACTGTGCCAATCCATCTTTTTGAGGGACTTGTTCTTTTTCACTGACCCTCTACTTTGCCAAGTATAATGTCCTACTCCAGGGACTTGTCCCTCCTGATGACATGTACAAAGTGTGTGAGATGAAGTCTTGCCATCCTTGCTTCTGTGGTACATTCTGGTTATACTTATTTCAAGACAGATTGGTTTATTCTTCTGGTTGCCCACAGTATATTCAGTATTCTTCACTAATACCATAATTCAAATGTATTAATTTTTCTTTGGTCTTCTTTGTTTTGAAACCATATCAATCATCTACTCATATTTGAATATAAATTTACATGATATATTACTAATGGCAGTACCATGTACTATAAGAGTTACGCTTTATCCTCTTCATTTCTAGGACAACTAAATAGTTCAGTAGATTGTTACCTAGCAGTTACAGATTTTTGTACTCTAGAGTCTTTCATTATCCT